CTATATGACCGTCTATGTGCAACTCAAAATTGCATAATTTGCCCCAGTGGTAGAGACGGTGATTGCATGAGCTCGGGTATAGTTTATCTGATCTCCTGTAAGACGTGTGGTAACGAATACATTGGCGAAACGGGTAGACCCCTCTGTGTCCGCATGAAAGAACACCTAGCCGGCAAAAATAGACCAAATACCCCGCTAGGCACGCATAGGACGCAGAGACATAACGGGGACGACTTCGAAGTATGTGTCACGATCCTCGCACGCGAATCAAGAACACAGGCGCGAAAAACTCTCGAGGCACTCTGGATTAATTCCAGAAATCCGAAAATGAACCGCAGGGAAGAATGCCTTAAAAAAAAGCGTGATATAGGGCAGTATATAAAACTGCTTTTCTGATGTGAGGGGCACATTATACTTCCACGTGATTTCTGTGCGGTTGGTCTCTACGTGACATACTTAGTGGAAACCTCATAAAAAGCGGTGAGTGTGCAAAGCTGTGTTCAAAGTGATTGAAATCTTGGTTTGGTGTTTCTTTGTTTGGTTATGGAGACATCTGGCCGAGTAGATTGCTATCAACTTGACCTTCCCAGGCTCTGAGGAAGGCGAAATCCGCCGAAACGTCAGCTTAATCGTGAACAAAGAATAGTAACACCTCGCGTTTGCTCAACAAAAATACGAAGAAAAACAACTATCAACCATCAGCAACCTGCATAAAAGGGCATCACCGAGTGAGAGTGCTTCATTCGAGAGATGGTCTGAAGAAGACACAACTCGATGCGAAGGCGAAAACGCTACATCGAGACAAAGAAGAACGGTGGACTATCGACTCGGATCGTCGACTCTGATGAAAACGAAGATGTCGAAAGGTTAGCCGGATAAAACTGCTTATCAATTTCGCGTAGGCTCATCAAAGAAAGCATACGTATTGATATAAGAGCCATCGATATCTGTAAACTTTTTTAGTAACAAGATGGAGCTCTTCTAATCCTATTAAGATAAAATTCTAATCTTCTATAACCCACAGAAACAGTCTTTCTCTCCAGATGATTTTTCTCGTAGCTGGTATATCTGAATATATAGCTCCTAATTAAAATAGCGAAAACTCGTCCGACGGATGGAAAGTGTTAACGACTGTGTCGTTACGAAATGGGCGCTTGCCAATATTTGTGCTTCAAGTATCTTTAGAAGTTTAATTCACTTTGCTCATATTATAATTTTCCTGTTCTTTTGTTTAGGCTTTCTGTTCTATCAGTGCTTAAAATTTTTGGTTGTTAGCATTTCTTTTCACTTCTTTCCGTAATACTAGACGCTACAGTCAGTTTTTTTTTGCTCTACTCATCGTTCAAAAGGTATTTGTTCAGTAAGAAAACACCCACAGTAGTACGTATTGTGGTGTTGCGTATTGAGACTAGAGAAGAACTTACGATAAATTCGGGGTTGCTGGCCGCATTCACCAGATCAGGATGATTGTAGCCGAGTGGAAGCGACGAAATTTGCGTGTAGACATCCAGGAAGGTGTTTCCTTAAGAAAGAAAAGTGCTTCATCCCAAGTTCTTATAAGCTTACAGAAAGTGCCACCATGTTTGTTTCCATGTTTTTCATGCATTTGATGTTCAATTAATTCAATAAGAAAATCCACTCCGTAAATGAATGAAAATCGTTAACATGTAGGAGTTAGTGACCCTATGGGATGTGAACACATTTCATATTCGCTTAATGCAAGCGCTTAACAAGTTATCTAGCATTTGCATGAAAAGCTATGGATGATCCGAATTTGTGATTAATGAATCGAAAATCCACGCGCGTTCTAATTTACTATTAGTAACATTAATATTACAGAATCGAACAGGCACGAACGAACCTCTCTGTATCACCACTCTAAAACACTAGAAATGAAACGATTTTTGAAAAAAGTGTGCTATTCTTCGAGTGACTACAGCCGAGCCACCCATAATAGGCAGCTCAGCAGAAGCTTTAGTGGTACTCGCCTCTTCACTTCATGATTAACGGGATTCCAGGTGATACAGGTGGCATAGGTAAAGCAGTAATATAAACGGCTACAATAAATATGTTCAAAATGGAATATTCTGCACTTACCATCTGCATCAACCATGTAGTTTCCAAAGGACTTCTCATAGTCGACGAACAGTCGTACCGATGTGGTTTGCTGAAATGAAAGCCTGATCGAATTAAAAGTTAAGAGGGGGAGAATTTTCTTTGTGATCTGAGAACCAATATAATAATTGCATTACCTGATGTATTTTCTTTATACGAATAGTTGTTTGTTAGTGAAGGTGATCAATCTCTTTTCGTTTCATTTATAACTCCAATAGTCACTGTATGTAAGGGAATTTTCGAAACAGTATTTTCCAGTCATGTTGATCCTCTTCAGCTGTTCTCCACCGTTACTAACCATTAAAAAAGAGCTTGACCTTCTTCCAGTGTTTTCATGACATATCGACTTCCACCCAATCATTTCAAAGAACAACCTCTCTACGGTGCTTTCGATAGATATTGATTTCACGGCAGTGTTTTTAAACGTATTGTTTTTCTTCCAGTGTTTTCTATACATCCCAAACCCTTCCACCTTTTTCGAGATTAAAACCGAACTACTTTGCCAGCACTGAAAAAAGTCTATTCTAAAGTGTAGGGAAAAAGCAAGGCGAGCGAAAATCGTAGAGAGCACGATATGAGTGACGAAAAAGCAGCACCATTTTTCCGAGAGTTCGAGTTCGAATTTGATTTTTTGTGTACAGTTGACACTAGATGGAAAAACATAAGACGTTCCCGGCCGCTCTGTTGCTCTATTGGTTTTCTTTTTTACTTAAAACAACATCAATGTGATAGAAATATTGAGAATAAGGAACGTAAATAGCGCATTCATTATAAGTGCCCTACAACACTAATATGGTAATTGGCTTGGTCGCGCTTTCCGAGCAAATCGGGCTCTCCATCAACCACAAGTTGACAAATGTGATACTTAACAGAGTCGAATATATGGCGTATGCCTAAGCATTTGATGATCTTCGAACGCATTTATCCTTTATGGTTTTGCCGAGAACAAAAAATAGGATCCAGAGAAGAACTACGATGAAGCGTTTAAGAGCACTTGATGAAGCCAGCTCACCGTTATTCAGCTATTATTGCTTTCCGTACTCATGGCACGTGTTGAAGAAAAGCAAACTCACTGGCAAAAAAAAATTTCTACAGAATAAGCCAAAAGCATAGCAACTCCATAATGAAATAAATTTCCTCAATTCTTTCCAGTCCTCCAAATCCTCATCATTTGTCTCGTTTAATAGAAAAAAACGCAGTTTTTTTTTCGAAACCGGGGAAGGAAACGTGCTCACCCGGTAAGAACTAGCGAATTGGAATTCCTAGGATTTCTGCATTTCATAGTTTACACATAGTATCGCTTCCTTACTTTTTGAAGCAGATGCCGACTGATTCAAAAAGAATTGTATTAACCGACCAAAGGGATACCTACGGGGTAGTCCCTAGATTTGAAAATACCTGCTGCTCACGCAGCTCATTTCAGAGAAAATCCACGGTAAGACATCATTATAGTCCAGTAATACATTCGAAATAATAATCTCATTTTTGAGAACAACTTGGAAAATTAGGTGTCTCTTTGCCTGCGCAGAAAACAAAACGAAACAAAATCAGAGCAGGTTCGCTTCCTATTCACTTACGGACGGAAAAAATTCTCTCATAATCAATCACAGCAAACCATTACAGTCGTGTAACCCGACCAGCCAGTGTGTACGGCGATCGTCTGTGGTGGTAGTAGCGGCGGTTATCATTGCTGAGACAAACAGAAGCCTTTGTGTAAAGTCATTAAGCTAGTTGAAATCGTGTCAAGAAATCTAATCAAGAAAAGGCTAATCTTTCTTTTTTCCCATCGAAAAACGGACAATTGACTATATTTTTGGTAATGTTAGTTGTAATCACATAAAGCTATAAAGCACAGAAAACAGCATCCTGAAACAAATCCAAGATCTGTGGAAAACAGTGGTACTCATCAAAATGCTAAGGGAGAATATTAAACATCAATGTGAGAAGCACGATGTTCTTCCAAAATCAAAAGGGATGGTATAAATCTTCTATGGCCGCATTTTTGTGACCCAATTCAAGTACTTTCTCATTTATGAACTAACAATGTATGAGCAAAGTCATACGGACCAGAAAGGCGTTATGGTCGAACAGGACGTATACATTTACACGTGATTCCTGAATTTTACAAAAAAAGTATCTAGTCCCAATCTTAATCCTTTTATTTACTACCTTTTTCTTTTTAATGGCAGGATATGTTGCGAAATATAACTCCTATATATATTATAAAGCTGAGATATTTGCAAAACTCCGGACCGCAGGTGTCTGCGGTGGGGAACGAACGCGCTATTGCCCTTACCAGGGAGTAGCGCACTTGATCTGGGGAGCCCAAATCCCGTTGACGGGTGATTGCTGATGGCAAAAGATCAATAGAACTAGCTGAGAGACAGATAGAACGAAGGACCCGGATGGTGTGGTGGTGAAGTGCGCTACTCCCCGGTAAGGACGATAGCGCGTTCGTTCCCCACCGCAGACACCTGCGGTCTGGAGTTTTGCAAATATCTCAGCATTATATACGAGTTATCTCCAGTCCTTCCACTCATCGATATAACTTTCCTTAACGCCAGTTACTACTTATGGTGAAGACCTGAGCGAGAGCAAGCTAGCACCGCCACCTAGAGATCTGAGGAAAAAACCACCTTTATCCAATATCCGAAAAGTCAATAATGGCAAAAGCCCACGGATACTCGGGGAGCACGCTAAGCGCACAAGCGATTCCGACCACTTCTATGGACTACAGTTGCGGGACAACAAAATGAATAATGAAGAGTGGATAGGTGATATGAAGGTGGATACTGGAAGCCGCATGACATACTAAGAAAGACCATCTAGGCAAAGTAAAAGTAATAACTTTCCTAGATCACAGATATGCCACATACCATGTGTCCACATATTTGACTTTATACAAGTGTAACAATAACGAAATACGAAACGAACATGCAATGGATCCATTCTCTGTTTAAGAGCCATGGATGCAGGTCCTGGCACTTTAGATTTCACTGACGGCCCAGCAGGTTCTTGTGACGCAATAGCGGCCACATTTCGTACTAAAATTCGCCATGAAACACTTCTCGTAGAAATAGCAATTAATAGGAGAAAATATTTTTATGACTCGTCTCGGAATTAATCTTAAATTTATAAATCTTGGAATTTCACTAGATCACAAAACAAGGACATTATAACAATTGCCGCCTAAGCGTCCTCCTTGTAAAAGAGTAGTCTCATTCGGATACACTAGAGATTTAAGGCAAATTTTCAGCTGTTTTTTGAGTACCACATGATAAAGCAAGAATACTCAGGAGACCTCCACCTAGACGTCTTCAACAATTCCAGTGGGATGCTTAGGAGAATCCTGGAAGACCTGCAGTTTTATTGACTTAGTTTGATCTACGACATTAGAGGAGTCATCAAAAGAGTTGCGAGAACAGGAGTGAACTATTATGACTACAGCATCTTGAACTAAATTAGATCATTTAGTAAGGATAAGGAGGTGATTTGTGTTGCAAAGTCAAGAAAGAGCATTTCATTTGAGAACTGAAATAAGGTGAAGCACAAAAAAACTTCAAGTTCACAGACGCTTTTGAGAAAACCAACTCTGATTGCTTCAAAATTGTCAACAAGAACGATGATAAGGAAGAGCATAAAAGGATAAAGCTAAAGCTTTCGGCATTGATCAATCCCTGAGGGATGCGCCATGCATTCGACTTCATCAAGCATCGTTTGTAGGTGACTGGATACACATCTGGCCTTTACAACGACTCGCCGTGGCCCGCCGATGTATCGAGCCAGTGCTGCTGTCCCCCAAACAAGTTTGGTACCAATTTGCCGACCCCGAAGGGATGGAGGTCTAACTGAGTCATGGGCGCGGGAATCGACTCCACGTACGTGTGTGTTGCGGTGCGCCTCCGACCATTGCGTCACACGCGCTTTTAGGGATCCGTGAGTATTCCCGTCTTGCAGCGTCGTTATAATGTTTGGTCACGAAAAAGGAAGGAAGAGCATATGATTTTTAAATGACAACGATTGATCAAGCTGCCCTATCGATTCGCTCTTTATCAAAACATAGTCGATATTCTATCGCTTGTTGACGTTTCACAATGCAATCAATGGCAAAACTTTTTAAGAAAAACACCATAGGCAATTGATTATATGTCGTGCAAAGAATTGGAAAAGGACCATACTATTACAAACAATGAAACCAATGAAATGTACTGACCAGAAATTGTCAATGACGTCTGACATACGACACGACAAAACATCAGTGTAGAGAACGAGAATGGCCAACACAGACTGGATCACGGAGTAAAAGGCGTGGGGCAACCGGCCCAGTTTCCCGCCCACAACGCGACGGCGAATGGTCGGTCGATCATCCGGCGGCGCCATTCTGCCCACCCGTGCACTCGGTATTTCTCTCTAATCTTTGAATAAACAAACAAAAGAAGCTTCTTGAAAAATATCTCTATGTGTTTTTGAAAACGACCTTCCTTTAATCTCGGCATAATAATCAATACCTTCCTGACTTGTTAAGCTAACACGAGGTTAATAAAGATGAGTATTCGGGTAACGTTTCGACGTCTTCGTCTTCTTCAAAGCCATTAATTCCAGTCGATGATCCACAGTCGTACCTTTTCGATGTGGCGTCTTCGTCGTCATACCGAGGCAGATCATCTTCGTCAGGGGTCAGGGGTTCGAATGAGGCAACCTCGCCTGGCAGTGGTCTTTTATCCAGGACGGTTGTTGTTGATGATTATCTGGTGATGATGACTTATTCTCAACGGCTAATTCATCTTTTATTTTTTTTACTTTATAAAAATTGGTGGATAATAGAATACAAGCAGTGGATAGTCCACTGCTAGATCTCTAGATCTATAGTTCGGAGATTTCAGTAAGTTGCGACGTTCGGCGAAGATATTCAACAAAGCTCTTCAGAATGATCGTGAACACAACGACATTACAGCTTGCTGAACTCAAAAAGTGCATTCGTTTTTTATTCATAAACTAACACGAGGCCGATAAAAACTTTGTTCAGCTGACGCTTTGGCGCCTTCACTCTCTTCAGTGCCAGATTGATCCGTGTCGATCGTCCACGGTAGTTCCTTCTTCTTCTGTGGTTCTCTGTGCTTGCATCGAGCTGAACCTAGTGAAACAATCCCCGAATGAATTCACCTCACTCGGCAATGCTCTTTTGTGCGGGACTGTTGTTGATTCTGATTGTCCGTCGATAATCGTTTGCTTTTCTCTGGATAACCCATCCTGCTCCACTCGGTGTCATTATCAGCTAGTACAAAGCTTAACATATTTCCATAAACCGACTTTTCTTTATCCGTGGCTTGACCAATTTCATAGATAAGGTAGCACGAGGTTGATAAAAACGCTGCTCGGCCTACGTCACAGCGCCTTCGCCTTCCTCACAGCCCGATGATTCACATCATAGAGTGTAAATCCTCTAATCCCCACCGAATTCTCCCTCTGTATACGAAATTCTCATTGTACTAGAATGTTTACAGGGTGTAAAGTTTCTCAAATAATAAAGTGCAGTTACAATCGCAGATATAAACTCTACTTACAGAATCCGTTTGAGTCCTAAACCGTTTACTCATTGCGGTTTTGTAAAAATCGTGTTTCATTGAAGTGAAAGTTTCGTGTCGCTGCAATCTTTGTAAGCAGATGACCTGATCAAGATCATTTATCAATTACCAACATCTCAAGAGTTAAGGGCGAAAGCCGATAAAATGTTAAACAAAAAGTAATCCGTATTTTGTTTTATGACGACTAAAACACTTCCACGTTTTGATCTAAAGAGCATAGCTTCGCGATTTTGTTCACGTGAAAACTCTTGTCCTAGACACATTGAAAATGAGTTGGCCACATGCTGAATCAAACAAACCAATGTTTCCTCTCATATTGCCAAATTTACATCTTTTTCGGGTTTTTCGAATTTAGAACGTAGCTACTGTTATCGATTAGCAGAGTAAAAAGTCGGTTTTGCTGTACTCTTAATCGACTGTGAAGAAGAGGAAGGAGAAGAAGTTGCCCTGTTGAGGACACTGCGTGGTTACTTCTGTTAGCTGTCAACATTTCCGATAGAAAAAATGTCAACAATTCTGTGTTGGCTGTTACAAAAACCCATAAATGTATTCATGAATTCTGTCGATGCTAGAAAATCTTCCATTTCAATGATATATCGCAAATTAGCCAGGTTTTGTTTCCCCCGAGGATCGTCATAGTCGTACACACGTTATCACTACAGCTTGCCAACCTCCATACTTTTCAATTGTAAGCAATTTTCTAGCTTTAGGATTCCTAGGTACGTAGTCGCACCTATGTCGACTTTACAGTATCTCGACATCGAACCTTAAGGACTAAAAGTAAGTTTGCAACCTGACCACTACCTTTCTTCCACAAGGTGCCAATAGATAGCGTAAGTTTACATTTTCAACTATTAAAATGAAATGCAAAACTTCTTCAACTTGACACTAATGAAAAATGAATCCTATGCTGCATATTCAGGTCAACATCGATGGAAATTATATTTCTACCAAGATGTTGTAAACAGTTTATGGGATACTAAGTCTGCTCCATAAGGGAATACATTCATTTCCCTTTCGGCTCAGCTTTCAAATCATCGCCAGCTATAGTTCATATCCAGTAGGCCAGTAGGTTAAAAATGGAAAACGAGTGCCGCGGAGTCCAAGTTCACTTCTAACTCGTGAGTTTATGTATCAGGATCGCTAACACTTTATTTTCTAGTACTTCTTTGCGAGCTTGTTTAGTCAAAAGCATGGCATGCTGCTGGTTTATAATCGGGCTTTGTAATCTATTCCGTTCTCGAAGAGTACTTCATCATTATTTAGAAAGCAATAAGGGCAGAAAGTCAGAAAAAAACACTGACACTGCACCACATGCACACGTAGGATAGTTTTCTCTCCCATCGAATTCCTTTTAGCAGTGCTTTCAGAGGAAGACTGCCGAACTTTCTTCAGTAGGAGTAACCAAACATGTACCCTCGGACTTAAATTGCGCAATTCCGCACCTCTGAGCACCTTCTGTGTAAGTGCGAGTGTAAGTCATAAAAGCGCTTCGTGGCTTAATCAGATGCGAGTTCAGTTATGCTTTGTATTTCCAAGGCGAGTAGATGAGGCGAGAAATGACGACTGAGCAAAGATGAAGATGCTGCAGTAAATGGACCGAACGGAACGACGACTCTTATACATTGTTCATACAATGTGGTATCGTGATAACGTGTCTATCACGTTTGCAGTGTTGAAAACATGGTGGAAATAAGGATAGTCTATAGGTCGGATCTACAAGGGAGTTATTTCCGCAGACCCCATCCAATCCCTAACGATGGGTGCAGACGTCTCTAGAAAACATGTTTCAACAGTTGTCCTAAGCTTCGTTGACTACGAGACAGCGTTTGATAGTATTGAAACTAAAACTATCAGATTTTCTCTAACTGACTAAGACTCAGATTCGTGATATGTAAAAAGGCTTGCTGACTGCAAACACAGGACACAGAAACCACCAAAACATGAACTGACGCAGAACACATCAAGCCAGTTTTCGTGGTTGCGAAGAACATCCCATCTTCGAGACCGGACTCAAGAAATAAACATGCTTGGGCTGGTCGTACATATAATAAGAACAGACAGAGAACAGCAGATAAATAAAAACTGCACAGTTGTACAGATCGTGGAGTAATCAAGAGGACTTAGAAGAAGACAATAAAAAATGGCGTGATTTGTTTGTCAAACAAGTTAAGCAGCTATTCAGTGCTGTAATCGACTTCCATACCCACAAAGCACAGTCGACGTCAAATAGAAATACTATCATCTCCCTATGGCGATTGCAGGAAACGAAATGAATGAGAAAGGATTCGGACCCTTAGGTAATGTGAAAACGACTGGTGCGTGTATTTACATTGGATAAATAGAGTGAATTTTAAAGCCAAATAGTTGGTGGAGTTTCTTGATTTTGTGAAAGAGGAAACTAGTGAAGTAAACGACACCAGCTAACAGGATAAATCGAAAGATGTGATAATAAAAGCAGCACTATTTGTGAAAATAGAGAAAATGGAGCATGGATCTCGAGAGTGAGGTGATTTAAAGGATCGTATTCTATTCCTCTCAGCGCGTGCTCATTTCCTGCTAGAAATAGTGCTAGTTTTGTTTTCTTTCAACATTAACTCCTTGTTTTCAGACGAAATTTTGTGTCCATATGACTACGTCACATATTATTTCAAGTCATAGACTTCATTGGAAATTTTTGCTCCGGTTTTTATTTTGTCAAGGTTTCTACTTTTTTTGTTATATTTTGTCAAGCAGTGCGAGTACGTTTTTCCTGAAGCAACAGTGATTCCTCATTAGCCTTAATTCTAGATAAATATTCCTATCAATACGTCAAAGCTACTCTATAAGTGAACGACCCTGATGAGAACTGAACCATCTCTTCATATCAAAATTCAACACCAAGGAATTTCTTCGCAACGCCTAGGCGGGAACCCATTCAAAGAAGTGACACCATATTTTAGCAAAACACAATAGCAATGTCCATCGGTTGGTAGTGACCAGTCCAATTAAGAAAACTGCATTGAGTGGTAATGGTCATGGTGAGTGTAGCGTAGTAATTAGAAGTGCTCTGCAATAAACACGTGGTCGTTGAACGGTCCTGGGCGGCGCTCTAACCAAGCCCTGAATATTTCCGGGGTCGGCAAATTAGTACCAGACTTGTCTGGGAGTGTAGAGCACTTACTTGATGCATCGGTTAGCTAACGCAAGCCTTTTATAGGCCAGATATGCATTCGATCACCTTTAACCATGCCTGATGAAGTCAAATGCGTCGCGCTTTCCTTAGGGATCGATCTACGCCGAAAGCTTTATCTTTTATTCTTTGTGGTAGCCAAGTCTACACATAGAAAAAGAAATATTGCAAAAAAATTAGGAAAATTAAGATAAGAAATGTGATCTAACCAGCACATCGGATGATGCAGCTTCCACAGCCAACTACCGTTTCTTCACGAACGTTAGTAACTAAAATACTCGCAAAGAGAAGACTTCAACAAGAAAGCGGCAGTTAAAAAATTGCACGTAGAATTTGCGGACTCCAAAAGACTGATCGGCTGACTCTTAATGACTAGAGTTTTACGTGAAGTAATATGTATACAAATATCCCTTTACTAGAATTACGAGGTGCTAATAGTTTCATTTTTTTCAACCTCCAAACGGTTTACCGCCTCATCATGGCTGGGAGGTGTACCTGGGTGTCGGACTGCGATGTGCAGCGGGGGATTCATCTCCTAGCAGGGTCTCCCAAGCTGAGAAAGAGTCCGGCGTTTCCGGAAAAATGAGGAAGCTTAGCTAAGAGTAAACTAAACCAGGATCCAC